AAGCTCTCCTTTGCTCACCCTTAAAGTCCCTTCAAAGCCCCATTTTTTCTGGCGTGGGCGGGCTTCGAAGACAGCAGTAGTTGCTGCACTCGGTCCCAGAAGAACTACAAGAGTGTCAATAACCAAAAAAGATTGTACAGACAATTGGGACTGTGCCAGCATCGGAATTCTTGCAAACCAACGAACCACATGCCGACTTACGAAAGCTTGTTTTGCTTTTGGAAGAGAAGTCGAGTGGTGTCCTTTGCCCTCGAGTGGACTGGATTCGTTAAAAACCTAGAAGGCGAACAGCTCTTCAGGTTCAAGGCAAACAAGTTCCAAGCACCCTTGCAAGCAAAGCAAGCTCACAAAACACTCGGACAGTTCACACTTTTAGCACGCACAGCTCACTGCTGGTCTCACGTGTCTTGAGCCAAACGACAGTAGTCGTGGCACCTCTTAAAAGCTCCCAAGCACTACAAAACAAGGGAAAACAGGTTGAGGCTACCGCAAAACCGTCACGCAAGCTCAAACTACGTTCTACAGGCACTGACCACCTGAAACTAGCAAAACTATACAAACTATACAGGTACCGAGGAAAACTCTGTGTCGCACCTAAAACACTACTGGGCAGAGCACTGGTTTTCTCGTCTGGTGCGCTCTGAGTCGCGGCCGCCGAAACGGCAAGTTCGGTCTGGGCTGTGCTCTGACAGCAAAAGGGTGGCAGCCTTGGCCTCCTTGTCTTAAGGAACTACAGGTTGGTCCTAAGCTCAGGACCCCCGACCTCCCAGTCCTTGCTGGAGAGGTTTCCGGAGGAGGACTACTTCAGTCTACTCTCTAGACCCTCCTCCCAGCCTTTGCCGGAGAGGTTGAAGCTTCTCAGCCCTCCTACCTGCAGGCCCTTTCCTCCCGGCCATTGCCGGTGAGGTTAGGAAGCCCTTGGCTAAAGGGAGCGGTCCTCCCCCAGAGTTTGGTGGGCTCGTAGGCAGGCGCTGTCCTCCCGTTTTCTGGTGAGGTTAGGAAGCCCTGGACCTCCCTATTGGCCCCCAAGGTCTGGTGGGCTCTTCAGGCAAAGAAGCTCCCAGTCTCCGCTTGAAAGCGCCGACGCCTTGGAGACCAAGAGGCACGTCTCCCCTTGGGGTGATATGGCCAGCACCCTTTGCTGGTGAAGTGAGGCCACCACCCACTGGCCAGCATCTGTGGAGTTAAGCTTGGTCAGCAACTCCTTATGGTAGGCTTCCACCATGCAGCGGAGCCAGTAGGTGGTTTCTGGATCCACCTTTTCGATCCAGTTCCACCAAGACTCCAAACGACGGCGTGGGGGAAAAGCGATGGGCCTTGGTTCTTGGTGCCAGTCGGCCCCATCCAAAGCCACCAGCTCCTCAATGCAGCTGTTGGGTGAGTACGCTCGTACTCCCCAGTTGTGCTTGTTGAGGTTTCTTGTGAGCACTCCCGCCGCTGAAAAGGCCACGATCACAAAGGCCATATGGAGGATTCTCGGAGCCGATGGCTCCGGATGCATGGGCTCGAGCTTCTCCATCTCCAAAACCTGGACATAGTCAAAACTCCCGCTCCTACCAGCCTTGTTCTCGCAGCGAAAATGCCTGGAAGCTGCCTCCCCAGCGAGAGCTCCAGGCCATGCCCAGCCCTCTTGTTTGGGTCGCCCTCATCGCTGGTGACCTTCCACACCAGGCTACTTTCTCCCGGGCATTGAAAGGTGGCCCGAGAGCCCCCTCTTCCCAGGAGGGAAAAGCCCACAGGATACTTTTCCAGGAAAAGCTCATTCCCTATTTGGGAAAGCCAGTGGTGTTTGTTGCTGGATCGCGCCACCCAGTCTGTTTGAAGACGGAGTGGCTGATCTGAAACAACCACTGGCCACACTGGTGCCCTTTGGTGTGGCTGACCCTGGAAGGCATATGGCTGTGGCTCCCTGGCTCTGGGTGCGGTCTCTGCCGCCCCTTCTGAGCTCTTCTCTTGCTTTGCCTCTTCCAGGTCACCAGCTCCTTCGGTTTGCCCAAGCCCTGGTGGGCCGGCTTTAGCAGAGCTGGCATCCCCGGAATTTTCCGGCGTAGGCTTTCCCTCCCGCTGGCGGTGGGGAAGGTGACCTGCTCCGCTTGGGAGAGAGGCTTCGCTGCTTTTTGGCTGCAGCCTGCTACGATTCCTTTTCCGAGCTGCTGCTGCCAACAAGTTGCTCGGGCCCTGGCGGGGCCGCTGAAGCCGGCTTGGGTTCCCTCGATTTCCCGGTGGGGACTCTGCCCCGCGGTCTGCTGGTGGGGTCGGAGGCGTTGCCTGCTTCGGCGACCTGCTTCTCAGCTCCTGGGGCCCGCCTGTTTTGGCTGTGCCGCCTGGTCTCTGTAGTCGCTCGTAGCTTCGTCGGAACTGCCAGTTTCACTGGCCTTCTTAGACCCTGAAGGGCTTGCGTGGGCCGAGGTGCAGCTTGCACCCCCCGAGCTGGCGGTGGGGACGGAGTCTTGGCCTGTTTCGGTGAGCGGCTTCTCTGAGCCTCTGAAGACGACGAGCTAGAGCTTTCCGCCTGCCGGGCAGGTGGTGGTCTTGAGGTATCCGTGCCTCCTGAGCACCACCCCCCGATTGGCCGGTGGGGACAGGTCTCCGGGTGTCTGGAGCCTTGCCTTTCGCCTTGCCTTTGCCCCCTTTTGGGGAGGCCACAGGCCCAGTGCTTTCAGGCGGTCTCTGTCCTTCTTTGAAGGCCGGCGAAAATATGCTCCCCTACCTTTGCCCTTAGAACCTCGCATCTTGGGCTTGTGGCGGCGCTAGGAGGACTTTGCAAAGAAGGTGGACACGGAAGGGGTACCTACAGCAACAGGGGTTTCACGGGCAGCACGCTTACGCAGGGTCTTTGATTTCTCATGTGCACAAAACTGCTCAAGCACGGCCGGGGTCGCCAGCCCCCCACTGGTTGCACACTGTGACACCTGGAACACCTCCACCTGATACCTTCATTGCACATGTTATGCGACGGGTGCCATTTCCACTCCGGGGCAGGGACACTGAGGCTGAGCGGGTGGTTTTTGCAGAAATTTGCACACTTCCTTTGAAAAGTAGGCTTCGAATCATTCTGTTGAATCCAAAGGCCACACTCCTCACACTTGATCTGCATGTTGCTGCCAGACTTTGCTCCCGTCTGGGCAAACTTGTGCCCTTTGGTGTCCATTTCCCCAGCGACCAAGCCATCAGAATTTGCTTCTTGTTGGCTTCCGGGACTGGCTGGGCTGGCTTACCAGCCTCGTTCATGGCAACTCCAGTTTCTTGCATCTTCTGATCACTCGTGCCAGCAGTGGCTGGTTTCGCTGCTGACTTGCTTTTCCCCCCGGCAAGCGGTGCTTCTTCTTGCGGAAAGACGACCGGCTGGAAGACGAACTGGTTGAGGCTGAAGGGGCCTCTGCACCAGCCTTCCTTGGGAAACAACTCAAGGTCCCTGGTCCTTGTCATGGCCAAATAGAGCCTGCATGCGTCGACCTAGGGAGAGCGCAACCGACTCGGCTAGTTTGTCCGCACTCTGTATGGCTGAGTCACGGTGTTTTTTCACCATGGCTTCGGCTCTGGCACCCAACTTGGCGATCCACCTCATCGTTGATGACCCGTCGCCATTCCTGGCCAGGTCCTACTTGCTCCTGGAACTGCTCCTGGGTCAGGTGGGACGGAACCCAATGCAGGTCCATCTCCTCTATCGAAGCCGTGCCGAAAATGTCAAGGTGCCGGCCCTTCGCTTGGCAGCCTTTTCGACTTCTGGCAACCGCACCTTTACACTGGTAATGTCAGCCCTGCCTGGAGCTGCTGCGCCGCAAAATGAATGGCTCTGGCCAGACAGATCCCCCCCTTCTGCCAGCGCTCCCAGTCAGGCCATGTGGGATCCCGTGGGAGAAGCTCTGACCGCCTCTTGCCAGATGGATTTTAGAGCGGTTTCTGCAAGACCTTCAGCCTTCTTGATCACTTTTCTGGGGATCGTCCAGTCAGGCCCAGTCTGGAAGCCTTGCCCCCATCGAGCTCTGCTAGGGCATTGTGCCTTTTGGCATCCACCCATCTTTTGACCAGGAAAAGAACCTCATGGAAGTCCGCCGCCTTAAGTATGTCAAGGTCTTGGTCGCGATTTCCAGGGATGGACATTCAACGGCTCCCAATCCATTTTGACAAGGCAGCACCAGCAGGCGCCAAGCGGTCCTGCCGCCCTTTTCCAAGGGTGCTCGGCTTCCTTGAGCCATACTTCTTGGCGCCGCCATCCTTGCTGGATGGCGAAGTCCCTGTCTGGCCGCTGCAGCAACAACCTGCGCACTGCTTTAAAGTTGGCTTCTTTGGTGATGGCTGCAGTGTGCCGCGGCTTGCTGCAATTCCGATGTACCTTGGGTGGGCTGGACATCCCCCAGATTCCACATCTCCGCCCATGTCGTTCTTCTGGCATGGAGTCACATCTCCACTGCAAGATCCAGGTCGGTCGGGAGGATTGCGCCTCATTCTTTTTGAGGCCGCGGAAAAGTGGGCGGAGCCCTCCTGCCGAGGCACCTTCCAACCACTGTTGGTACTGTGCTGCCCCAAAGCTGTGGTGCAACTGGCTGTTTTTGCGCATGAGAAAGGGTTTCATCCTTTTTGCCTTGAACTGTTCTGTTTTGGAAGCTTGAACAGGCATTTGCATGGCTAACACATGTTTTGGCATGTTTGCAGTTGCTTTGAAGACAGTGATGAGCGCTTACAGCACTAGAGATGCTTTTGGGCATCCTTGAAGAAGTGCGTGTTGCTCTGACTGCACTGTTGCTGTTTTCCGCCGACCCTCGCTTCGCTCGTGCCGGTGGGAACAGGCCAAGGACAGAGTGGCTGTGCACTGCTGTTTGGACAGTTGCATGTCATTCCTCCTTTGTTTAGCAAAGTTGAGACGGAATTTGCTGCGCGAGACTCCGCAAGAGACCTTGCTGAACACTTCGGTGTTTGGCTCAAGCGTGGAATGAAAAGAGACTTGCTCTGCGTTTTTCACATGGTAGCGGAGCGCTGAGTGCGTTCCTAGTAAAGCCATGGCAGACGTCCCTGTGCCAGAGACCACTGCAGAAGAGGAGTTCGAGCTTTTTGGTCCAGGACCAGCTGCGGCAGCGCCTGAAGCGGCTGCTCAGCAGGAAGCGAATCCGTTCGCTCCTGTGCAAGGTCCGGCTCCTGCTCCTCCGCAAGCAGCACAGCCTTCTGTACCAGCGGCGGGTTCGCCATCTGGTGCTACTGTGCCTCCTGTGCAAAGTCCCAAGGCGTCGGCTCCACCTGTTCAGAGTCCGAAGGCTGCTGCTCCGAGTAGCAGCTCTGGTTCTGCAGGTTTTACGCCTGAGCAGATGCCTGGATTCATGATGGAATTGCTTCGTCAGCAGAGAGAGATGATGGCAATGAACCAGCAGCTCGTTGCGACGATGCTCCGGAGAATGGATCTGGAGGAAGAGAGAAGGAACAAAGCGGAAGAGAAAGTTCACGAGGCAGCTGAAGCGGCCAAGCAGGCAGCAGAGGCAGCTAAGACTCGGGACCCCTTCCAGCCGAGCACTGCTCCCGCGAGCAGTTCTGCCGCGAGTTCGGCAGTTTCTCCGGCAGTTCCGTCTCCCTCTGGGTACTCTGGTGCTGGAGGCCGTGCAGAGAAGTATCTGCCGAACCTTCCGGTGATAGACCATCAAGGCATGGGGAAAGGGCGCATGAAGGAGGTAGAGACTTGGCACTCCTTTATGGAGACGCTGAGTTCCTGGCTTGCCCTGCAGGAAGAAGCGTTTGTTCGGGAACTGCAGCTTTGTATCCCCGTGAAAAAGGAGATTGTGCAAGCTGACTTGAATCCCGAGACTGCAGCGCGTAGCTCCAAGCTGTTCTACTACTTGACGCAATCCCTCGCCAAGTGGGAGCGAGGAAGCGAGCTCTTGAGGTCCTGCTCGAAGAGGCAGGGACAGAGCGCCGGCTACGAGGTGATTAGAACGATTACCTCTCAGTACTCCATCGTGTCGCGGATGGAAGCTGTCTTCGTGAGAGAACAGGCTTTGAAGTTGTACCAGCACGTTGGGCATCTGAAGAGGCCCACCGACTTGATTCGACATCTTGAGGATTCGTTTTCGAAGTCTGAAGCGAAGCTGAGCAACTTTCCGGAGCTTCAGCTGTCTGAGGCTGACCGCTGCTCTGTCCTTTTGCAGAGCTTGGGTGCAGAAGTGCGTCAGTACGTGGTACTGCACGGGTCCAGCTCGAACTGGGAAGCTCTTCGAAGGACGCTGACTTACTACGAGGAGCAGCTGCGACTGTGTGAGGCCCCTGGGTCTTCGGGCCGAGCCTTGCAGGAGAAGCTTTGCGACTACTGCGGGAAGAAGGGACACACAGCCGACAAGTGTTGGCAGCGCCAAAAGGAAGAACGCGGTGGTGCTCCGAAGGGCAAAGGGAAAGGAGACAAAGGAAAGCCGAAAGGCAAAGGCGACCAGACTCCCAAGGGATCTGGCACGCCCCGTGGTTCCGAGAAGGGCAAGGGCGACAGAGGAAAAGGCGACAAAGGAAAGGACAAAGGCAAGAAGCAGAAGAAAAAGAAGAAGGGACAGCCTGGAAAGGGACGCTCCTTGACAGAGCCGGAGTCCGAGGCCGAGTCGGGAGGAAGCGCCACAGTGATGGCGATGAGGTTTTCCTGTCCGGGGCGTGGTTCTTCGGAGCCCTCTTCTTCGGAACGCCGTGTTCTGAGCCAGCCTGAGAGACCTGAGCCGTCCGCCCTTGTAGTTCCGAAGCCGGGTTCAGGACCCGAAGGGTCGCCTAGGTCTGAGAGTCGAGGTTCTGAGTCTATGGGCTCCTTAGGATCCCGTGTGTTGAAGCACGGCGACGTAGCTCATGTCTGCAAGGCCCTCGAGACTACTCCTGGGGACCTGTGGCTAGTCGATAGTGGAGCCACCTGCCACATTGTTTCTGACAAACATCTCTCAGGATTTCGTGTTGTCAAGAAGTACGACCGAACGGCCAATCTGTTCAACGCCTCGGGTGGTGCGATCGTCGTTTCGGGGGTTGTCGACCTTGAGGTTCATTTTGGAGATGTTTTCCTGAGGTTGGAAGAGGTCTTGGTGGCGGATGTTGGGTTCAACGTTGTTTCGCCTTGGACCGGGTCGGAACGGGGCTGGAAAACCTATCTAGCCAAATCGGGATCACGATTGTACAAAGGAAACGGAAAGAAGAGCATCAAGCTGATGGGCGCTTCGCGCGCCTGGTGGGCTCTGAGCGGGAGGTCCAAGGGCCGGGGGAAAGAGAATTCTTCCAGACGCCCCCCGAAAGGGATCGAGGATATGGAGATAGATGCCTTGAAGGACCGCGACCTGCTAGGATCGAGCAAGGAGTCCACCGCAGGACCCCAGAAGCCTGGAGAAGGAATCCTGAAGAAAGGAAGAAAGACTTCGGAAGAAGACGAGTCTGGCCGCCACGCTTTGGCTGCCACTCCTTTTGGGTTTCTGCTTCGGGGTCTTAGGGCGGAAGTTGCTCCAAGAGCGCCTGCACCACGGGAGATTGAGCTTTGTGATTTTCTAGAAGAGTCTAGTGACTTTAGGCAGTGCACGGCGCTTGATTTTAGGAAACAGTTGCATGTTGGCACGTCGATTGATTTTAGGAAACAGTTGCATGTTGGCATGTCGCTTGATTTTAGGAAACAGTCGCATGTTGGCATGGCTCTTGATTTTAGGAAACAGTCGCATGTTGGCATGGTGCTCTGCATGTTTTGGCATGTTTTTCCATGGTTTTGCGATGGCATGTTTTCATGATGGACATGGTTGTGCAAGCGCAATGGGTTTTGGCTGCTGTGCTCAAGCGGGCTTTTACCCTTACGGTTTTTGCAGAACGATTCGGCATACGCCTCTTTTTCCTGCTATGGGAAACTATCTGGGCGGGTCAAAGCAAGAATGCGAGCACCGGTGCGAGGTGTGCGGAAAGCAGGTCTGCATCAGACGCAAACCTGCTCACACCCATCATTATTGTTGGGCCTGCATTCAACATTGGTCTGGGTTGCAATGGCTACGTGCCCACGACGAAGTTCCAGATTCGAGCTATGCTGAGAGCGATTCCGATGGCGGTTGGGTCTTGCTTGATGGAAAGTAGAGAAGACCGACCCTTCAGCCACAAGAGGGTAGAAAAAGGGTTGCGAAAGCAGTTGCCTGAACTTAGGAAGCAGCGGCGTGAGCCTAGGAAGCAGCTGCGTGAGCCTAGGAAACAGCTGCGTGAACCTAGGAAACAGTGGCATGTTGGCATGCTTGGCTTGATTTTGCAAACGCTGATGTTGCCGAATGTTTGCGCTAGCACTGCGCACGTTCCATCTGCAGCCGTTTTTCTCTTTGGTGAAGAGAGGTCTCCCTTTGGAGATCATAATGGACGGTGCCAGCGGGGACGAGTTTACCCCGAGTGTTGCTTTGAGCAGTCCGGGCTCCCCAGGGGACCCGCCTACACCGCCAGCTTTGGAGAGCCCCTCTTTCGAACTACCGGGGGTCGAGCCGCCGGGTGGGGGACCATCGTCGCCGGTGGCTGTCTACCCGTCGCCAGTGGTGACGGAAGCAGCGGAGAGCCCGTTGCTGGCGGATGCGGCTGGAAGCCCTGTGGAGGAGAATACTGCGAGGAGTCCGCCGAAGGCGGATATTGCAGCGAGCCCTTTGTTCTCAGAGAGCGAAGGGGAGGAGAGTTGGGGCCACAAATGGCCGAATCCCTCGAAGCGCCTGCGCGCTGGGGTTCCTTCAGAGGTCGAGGGGCCTACGCCACCTCGGGTTGGAATCCCGGCGAACATCTCGCCGGGTTCGCTGAGCCCTCCGTTTGGTGCGCTTCAGATGGATGTGGGAACCCAACTCCTCCTGAGAGCGTTGAGGCTGGAGGCTGGCCGCAGATGGGAGCATGCGGAAACACTAGGCCTTGCAAAGGTCTCGGTCGACTCTACCGAGCCTATTCCGTTGCTCTCGCACTTGGCGGGGATTCCAGCGAACATGAACGATGCCTACGATGCCCCATCCCTGGCGTTCTGTGCTCCAGGCCACGCCTTGAGAGCACTTTGCTCTCCGACGGCAACGATGCTCGGTCCGATAGGCCTGCCCGACCTAGAGCATCCAGCTGCTTGGCTACCAGCCACTCCAGTGATTCCGGTGACAGCGGCCTATCCAGAGGAACCATTGAGGGTTTCGAGGCCGAAGATGGTGGAATCGGAAGCCCAATGTATCATTGGGCAGCAGGAATGGGAGGTTTGGTTGGGACGTTGCCTAGAGGGCAAGAGCCTGGCAGAGTACGGGCTTCATATGGAAGACGTGGGGTTCGCCGTCAGGGTTACCGAACTTCTGGAGGCTCCACGGGCCGCTCGGGCGGCGTGGAAACGAAGGTTCCAGGAACCCAACCCTGTATCTATGTTACACTATCTCTTCCATTGTCGAGCTGTATTGCAAACCTATCTGGCTACGCCTGCTGGATACAGGGGACTGGTGGGAGCGTATTCGAGTCTGCTCGTAAAGGTGCCCCAGTCGGTCACCTCGCTCGAGCTCAAAACGGCTTGGGCATACCTAGACTCGGGCATATATCTCCGTGTTGCCCGATATTACAGGCGAAAACGAGAGGAGGAGCGCCTCCACGAGGCCCGGGAATCCATGCGAGCGGCAAGGGCCAAATCGGCAGCGATCCCTCAGGGCTCAACGATGGAGGGCGGTGTTGTGGACACCTCCTCTTCGAGCTCCGACGAGGAATCTTTGCTCCTTGGAGAAGGAGAAGTTACGGCGCTGAACAGGGCCCAGGGCCAAGAAGATTTATCAGACATCGCGATATGGCGAACGTTGGAAGAACTCACAGGCCAGAGGCTGTCCCAATTGGATGGCTTTGTTGGGGCCGACGAGGGAAATCAGCCCGCAGAGGCGGGACAGCCGGCACCGCCGAGCCCGGCTCCGTCCTCGGTGCCACCAGGAGAACTGGTTGCTACTGCATTCAACCTCCCGAGGGTTTCGGCACCCATGCTTCCGGAGGGGATGCAAAGAGAGGACTATCAAAGGCACGGCGTGAACATCCCTCCGTCTGTTCCACCAAGATCTCGTCTACCAACGCCTCCGAGAGCTATGAGTGCTTCTGCCACAGGACAGACTGCCCAGGAACGGGCATTTGTGCTCAGCCCGCCATCTTTCAGCCACAGTCAAGTGACTGCGCAGGCGAGGCAGATCCTAGAAGAGGGCCAAAGGCTCTTGGAGTGACTCTGCGGCGATCCGCACCGAGGGGTTGGAGTTCAAAAGTTTTTTCTTGCGAGCACGCTTTGCAACAGCACGCTTAGCAGCAGCACACTTTGCAGCAGCACGTTTTGCAGCAGCATGTTGTGTTGCATGAGCGTTGGCATGGTTTGTGGCATGTTGCGTTTGCTCGAAAACCAACCCAACGTACCTCGAACCCTCCTACCTTCGAAACCCGCACCTTTAAAACCACGGCCGCTTTCAGGAATGGTTTCACGCCAGGACTGGATCTTGGTATCATCGTTCTCCTCCTGACGGTCTACAGCCTCTTCTGTGGTATAGCTTTGTGGGTTTCTTCAGGGTTACTTCGGTGTTTCAGGAAAGTGGTTTCGCGAAAGAGGCCACGGAAGTTCTATAGGGTGTTTTCTAGAAAACGCGGAAGCTACTTTAGGATTAAGCTGCGGGACCGCTGGGTCCGCGTCGAGGTGAGTAGGAAACTTCTTTTGAGTCGTGAGGTGAAAGGTTTTGGGCAGCGCGTTTGTGAGCATGTCTGTGAAAACTTAAAGTGCGCATGTTGCGGCATGTTTGGCATGCTTTGTGCCGGAGATGATGAACCGGCCCCGGCAAAGAAGACGGAACAAGTTGAGCACGTGCTTCGAGCCGTGCGCTTTAGAGGTTTACCGTCGCCGGGGACCGGTACACGTTCTGATCCGTTTGACTTAGACCCCGAACCTTCCTCAAGACCTGCTCCCGCAACTTCCTCAAAACCTGAAGCTTCTAGTCGTAATCCTTTAGATCCTGAAGGAATCTTTGATGAGGACCCTGAACCATTAGGATCTGCCCCTGGCTCTTCCAAGAAACCTCGAAAAGAAAAGGGTCCAACACCACCTGACGACCCGGTTGGACCTGAGGACGAGGAGGACCTGAGGGTTCCTCTTTCTTCTGTTTCGTTGTATAATCATCGGAGCCGAGGGCATTTTCCGTTTGATTCCAATTGTGAAGCGTGTTGTTCTTCGAAAGGGCGCGTTCCGGCGCGTCGCTTGAGGAGGAAGCTGCAGAGAGAGAACCAGACCATAGGTCTTGATTTCTTCTATTTCGGAAAACTGAGGGTACTCCTGATGATGCACCTCGGTTCTAAGTATACTGTCTCTCTTCCTGCGATGCACCTCGATGACCCTGACCTGCTCCACAACATCAACCGTGTGATTCGCGAAATGGGATTAGTCGGTAAAGCGGTTACATTTCGGATGGACCAAGAAGCGGCTCTTGGAGCCCTTGCCGAGAAACTCACCAAGTGCGATAGCAGCCCTGCCAGCGCAACATTGATTGACGTGGTTCCGGGGTATCGGCCCCAGTCGAAAGGATCGATTGAGAGGCAGGTTGAAACTATGAAGCAGGGTTTCTGGTCTGTTTGGATGGACCTGGAGAAAGAGGTTGCTAAGGTGAAGCAGGAAACGGAAGCCGTTGAGCTTGGGAAGTATCAGTTACCTTTGGGAGGTTTGCTTTGGCAAGCCTGTGTTTTCTATGTTGCTAGGTGCTATAACCTCTGGTGTACTAGCGTCGGGGATTCGAGCACTAGCATAGATCGACTGCATGAGGAGATTGTGAACCGGACTCGGACGAGACCGTTCGGGTGTCTGGTTCAAGCCCAGGTCAGTAAGTCCAAGGCGCACCATGATAAGTTCAGGGGCGCCCGGACCGTGAAAGCGGTTTATCTGGGACCGGTGCACGCCAAAGGTGGCGGCATCTTTGCCGTCCCTGTCGGAAGCAGGGAAATAGATATATTCCCCGTCGCCAGAATGATTCAGGGAGGTGACATCTACGATGCCAAGACCCTGGAAGAGCTATCTTTAGCTAAGCCTCTTCTGCAGGACACTGAGGACCCCGAGAGGCCCATACTGTTTGATCCGTTGGAGGCTCCTGGTGATGATGCTCCTGATGAGGGGGCTGGTGTGGGAATGGATGAAGATGGTGATGAAGAGATGATTGAAGATGAGCTTGCTGACTATTCTCCGTCGGAAGCGCCTGAGAACCAGGAGGTTGTGAACGATGAGGGGGATATGGAAATAGACTGGCTCACGAATCACTATCTTGAGTCCCTGTTTCGAGGGCCTGACCTGCGAGCCACCTCCACTGCAGTTGCAAAGTCGTTTGATTTGAAGTTTGGGGGTACGAAGATAAGGTGTGCTGTTCCCCAGAACGCTGTGTCTGAGACTTCGGGAGAGAAGCTAGAACCCGATCTCCTTTACGCATCAATGAAGCTTGAGTTGGAAGAGTTGGAATCCTTCAAGGTTGGGGAAGTGATCCCTGAGCGCGAAGCTCGCCGTCTTGCTAAGGAAAACGGCAGGCGAGTTTTGACTAGCAGGTGGGTCAACACGGTCAAGAAGAAGGGACTGTATAGATCTAGGCTAGTCGTGCGGGATTATGCCTCTATGGGAGGCACCACCTTGAGTGAGGGAATCTACTCTCCTACTACTTCATTGGAGGGTCTGAGATTGCTTCTGTCAATGCTCTGCCGACGTGGCAGTGTGTTGTCCTGCGATGTCTCGGTAGCGTTCATGCATGCTCCCGTAGCGAGGGCAGAATTCGTAGAGTTGCCGAATAATGTGAGCACCCAGGGGACTGGGGAACGAGTTTTCGTCAAATTGCGTAAAGCGATGAACGGATTGCGCTCTGCTCCTTTATCTTGGTATTGCGAGTTGGCCGAATACTTGCGCTCTCAGAACTTCGAAGCAAGTTTGGACCCCACTATATTCCGTCGTCTTACGAGGAAGGGTTTGACGATTGTGTTGTTTTATGTGGATGACTTGTTGATCTATAGTGAAGATGAAGCTGAGGGGCGCCGGTTCTATGAGGAGTTGCGTAAGAGATACAAACTGAAACTTACGGGCGAGTTGATTCAAGATTGCCCCGGGGAAGTTTCGTTTCTCGGTCGGCGGATCTTTCGCCGTAAGAAAGGGGAACGTACGGTGTATTTCGGGCTAGACGAACAGTACCTGAGTTCCTGTTGCGAGGAGTACGGAATCACCAAACCTGCACCAAAGCTCCCTTCCCTTGAACGCCGCTATGCTGAGTTGCTGAAGAAAGGCCAGACTGAGCTGATCAGTCCAGCTGCTCACGAAAGGTACAGAAGGACTCTGGGCCGTTTGGCCTGGGCGGCTCTGTCACGACCAGACCTGCAGTTTGTGTGTGGGTTTCTGGGCCGCCACCAAGCAGCTCCTGACGAGGCTGCCGAGACCTGTATGAGGGATGTCCTTCGTTGGGTCAAGGGTCTTCCGCACAAGGTCCAGAGGTTTCCGAGCAAAAGGGAGATCTTGGAAGATGATGCGGACCCTGCCTCTGTATCTTGTTTTACGGACGCGAGCTGGAGTCTGAATTCGGTAAGCGGCGGGATCATCACGTGGGAGAACTGTTCCCTGAAAAGCTTCAGCAGGAAACAAACGACTACCGCACTCTCAAGTGCGGAAGCAGAACTCGCTGCACTCACAGAGGTTGCTCGTGAAGGGTTGTACATTGCTTTGCTTGTGGAGACCATCCGCGAGGGTATGCCGAAAGACAGGGAAACCGGTTATTATGTTCTTAAGGGATATTCTGATTCCGAATCGGCGGTTTGTATATCGAAGATGCAGACCCTCCTGAGGAAAGTGAGGCACATCGAACTGCGTGCCGCATTCCTTCAGGAGCTGGTGGCCAGGGGTCGTTTTACCATAGAACACATACCGGGAGTGATAAACCCTGCGGACGCCCTCACGAAGAGCCCCACCAACGAAAGTTTGTCTAGCTTGTACGATGCCTCTGGCCTTGTAGATGAACCGAAGGCCTGGGAGAGTGAGCCTACTGAGGTGCACGTGTCTTTTGAAGAGCCCAATGAAAACGAACGTTTTACTCCGTCTGTTCCGCCTTCCTGGAAAGCCGCTGCGTTGAAGCTAGCTCGTGGTGAAGCTAAGTACGTAGTGGTTGAACTGTGTTGTGAAGAAGGAAGTGCGTTGTCCAAAGCCTGCTCGAAGGTCCCCGAGATCGCCTACTTTGGGGTGACTAAGGAAGTTGATCTTCTGAGCTATAATGGCTTGTGTCTTCTGAGAGAGGTTTTCGGAGTCGTAGCTGAAGGTGAGGTTAAGGTATATGCTCACTTGTCTACTCCGTGCTCTGCTGGGTGTGGTTTAAGGCACCTGAGGTTTAAGAAGGGAGGAAAGGCCCTGGAGAAGTGGAGAGCGGCTCTGGCCGTTCACAAGAGGTCCTGGAAAAGGATCGAGAAGCTGTTGGAGCCTTACGTGGGCTCCCCGAACCTTCTGCTTTCTCACGAGTGGCCTGAGAGGTCAGGACTGTGGGATGAGACTGTGTTTAAGAGGGTTTCTAAGAAGCTTCGTTTGGATCAGGGTTGCCTTGTGGATCGTTGTTGCTTTGAAAAGGGTGACCAACGACCTTGGAAAAGATGGTGGTTTGTGTCTAACCGCACAGAGTTTGTGTGGGGACTTTCGTCTCAGTGCTCTGAGGGACACGGTCACTACTACCTTCCTCTTCCTGAGTCAGGTGTGTATCCAGAGGGTTTAGGATTCGCTCTCCTGAAGAACGTGAAGAAGACTTTTGAGGAGAAGTGAAGAGGACTCTCGGGCATGAGGGGGTGTGAAAAGTTTGCTCCGTGCTGCAGCAGGTTGCGCAGGTTTCTCAGGTGTGACCGCCTGACTGACAACGAGCAGGTGGCTTGCAGGGTTTAGGGGTGTTAGGACCTTGGGGTTTAGGGGGTTCCCACCTCTCTTTTCCTTTTGGTCAGGTTCCCAATGTGTCTGCTGCATGCTTGGGCCTTTGCTTGGTCTTTGGGTTTAGGTTGTTGTGAATCTTTGCGACTCTTGGCAGTGAGGAGTCAGCTTCTGTATGCCGTCAACCACCCCACTGTTTGAGGCATAACCCGCCTAAGCGCTGCGCTAGCCTTCTGGCCTACGCGCGTGTTTAGTTTTGTCCCGTCCTGAAGGACTGGGTGCAGCAATTTCTGGTTTGCTTGCTACGGGTGCCCGGCCTTCAGTACAGGA